TGAGAAGTGAAGTTTAGGATTTTTTAAAAAAATTTAAAATTAAAATAATTTTTAATAATGAAAAACAAAAGTTGAAAACTGTCAAAAAATAAAACTTTCAAATTCGAAAACTTATAATTCGAAAATGATAAATGTGGGAACCGAAATTCACCCCTGTCGATTCCCGTTAAATAAGGAAACTTAGGAAAAGCCTAATTTTCCAGAGGAACCGGATCTCTGCGAAAGCCAATGAAAAGTAACCAAATAAATGCGGAAAATATGAAAAACGTAATAAAATGAATTTATAGAGAAAGTCGATCTTATTTCCGATTCGCGTAAGTGCGTTGCAATCATTACAGGGAATTATAAAGGCTTTGGCCGCAAGGGCCATCAGCGAGTTACTAACATAAAACCCTAAATCTAGTCGAGTCGCAGCAAGATAACGAAAGACGGAAAAAGATAAGAAAAAGGGTTTGATTGATTTCGGACTGAACCTTATGAAAGGCTGCCTACGTACCCCTTTCGAGGATCAAGTCGAACGTAGTTCAGTTGATAGAGCTGGACCAGAGATCGAACTGCCTGGGCGAGTTCGCCTAGTAATTGAGCGCCAGTCATAGAAACCGAACTTGTCGAGAAAAAAACCTAAGTTTCTAAGAGCGGGAAATTCTAAGTCTAGAAAAGTTGTAAAAGTCTCATATGAGAGCTCTGAAATTCGTCCTCTGCTTCTGTCATCTGCCTCTTGCTTATATACTCCCTTCCTAGGCGGTTTCGTCCTTCCATTTCGCCCAGATTCGAGTTTATCGAGAATCTTCCATTTATCCTTATCTTTCATTTTTCCTGCAGAAATATTCTATTTATCTTCAAACTTGACATTTATCTTCAAATTTGACATTTATCTTCTTTCTGCTAGTAATTCATTAAAACGTCGTCGTATCTTCGGGTTTGACTTCGTCAAAGTCGCAAGATATGATTTTATCGCGTTTTAGGTCTTTTCAAGCCGTTTTGCAGTAAAACCGTTTTACGACTTATATGAGATCGTTTCCTGATGCGATGTCGTTTTTAAATAAAAACCATCATTTATTCGATTGCACTTAAATTATTAAGTGAGTACTTGCATTCTCAGTGCTTTAAAATCCCTTAGAATTGGTTCAACAATCTTTTATACTACAACATTTGTCTTAGGAGCCTTGGAAAATTCCTAACTTCTAATTGGCGCCATTGCCGGGGATAATGAAAGAACCTCAACCTCCAGCTCTTGACAAGATGCCACACACCCTCACTCTCCACCCAACGAAGCTCAAGGATGGAGCCATCGAGTACAAGATCAAGTGCAAGGGAAGGTCTAAGCCATTCTCCACTGCAAGAGCCACCATTACTCTTGAGGGTGGGAAGGACCCTCCTTCTCACTAACTAGAAGAAAAGGTAAGTGCATCCTTACCTTTGTAAATATTTAGTTCATTCATATTTTATCTCTCTTTTGATCTCTCTTCCAAGTTTACTGTCACACAAGGGACTGCGTGAAGTAAGTTTGGGGGGAGAGTCTACTGTCTCACATTATGTTTTGTTTTGTTCTCTTGTCATGAGTCTCATGCATGGCATTATACATACTTATTGGCATAGAAAAAACCACAACAAATTGAAAATTTGAAGAACACAAAAACATTTATTTAGGTTGCATCACTTGCATTTCTAGAAGAGTCTAGAGCATATAGCTTGCATTCATATACATTGAGAGCAATGATTTTAAAACACTTTGTAAAGAACACATGTCAAAAGCTCAAAGTGACACTCTAGTTTGATCACCCAAGATCTAATCCCTACTCCCATGAGTTCTCCTTTCTCTTAATCAAAGGAAGTTATTTTAATTATCACTTTTCTTATTCTTAGTTATAGTTTAAAACCATCATTTATTCGATTGCACTTAGATTAAATAAGTACTTGCATTCTCAATGCTTTAAAATCCCTTAGAATTGGTTCGACAATCTTTTATACTACAACATTTGTCTTAAGAGCCTTGAAAACTCCTAACTTCAATAAATTAACGAAACACCCGTCAAACAGGATAGAGCCCACGAGTCGAAAGAACAGGCATGAGAAGTCTAGGACGGTCAAGATGTTACAAATGTAGTCTACTATTAAATCACTAAATTGCTATATCTTCTACGTGTTTCAAAAAGAATTTCATCATGGAAACAATAGTTATTCATCAGTATCACATATGTTGCAGATAGTAATCATAATATGTATTAGAATTTGAGATTATATGATAATGTAAATGTTACCATGTGCAGTTACAAAACAAAAAAAAACAAAAAAATGTTACCATGTGTTAGAAAAAATTGCTACCTTCTCTATATGCTTTGCAACTTGAAAGTGTGAATTATTCTGAATAAAGATTCTCTTCGACTGCTTTTATCCTATTGTCACGTTCATAAAGATCTGGTTGGTATCAGTCCATCATTGCAAAGGACAATCATAAACGGTCCAAACTCTTTCACAAGTATTAGAAATACCAACTAGATCTTGAAAGAGTTGGGAACATTTATGATTGTCCTTTCTTCTTCTTCTATCCTTCTCCTCTATCATTAGAAAAATAATTAAAAACTAAATTTTAATCCGCGCAATCGCACGGGTGTTTATTTCCGTGTATAGTTAGTTATATAAACATTTTGTTTTCACTTGTAAATTGGTATATATTATAATAATCACATATTTACAACATGTATAGTAAATGTTTTTTAAACATAAGAATATTATATAATACGTGTTTTAATCAAATAGATTGTTTCAAATTTTGTATATTATACATATTTTTCAAACATGTGTTTGTTTCTTCTTCTATATTTTATTGTTTGTTAGATTATTATTTCATTTTTAGATAAATTAATATAAATAGAGCTTGATTAATTATTACTATAATTTTAATTTGCAAAGATAATATAAACTTCGAAGAAATTTTTGTTAAAAACTAAATTTATAGCTTCATAAATTAATATTATAAAGAATTTTATTAAAAAGAATTTTTTAAACAATTTATTTTTTAAACAATATAATTTTAAAAATTTACATCGAAATAAATTTATCTAGTATATATAGAGTGTAAATTTTGTTAGGGTATATAAATATTCCATATTATGAATCAATGATTTTTATTAATATATTGTGGATACATTTAACTATTATTGACATATTTCCTTATAAATAATATAAGATTCCTAAACTTATATCTATTGACATAATTTGCGTGACTAAGTTGGAAGGTGTGGGTAATTTACCATAACCAAATTATTAAGCGTATCTTTGTTATTATAAATATGATTTTTCATAAGATATAATAATGATAAAATTATTAAAAAATTAATGTAACATAACTATTTAGTAATAGTTCATTTTTTTAAAAAATCACACATGAAGTCATCACTTCTGTTTTAATCTACTAATAATAACAATCCTCATTAATTCCAAAGGTTACGAATCTTCATTAAATTGAAAGGTTGTGTTTTAATTTTAATTTTGTAAGTTTACTTGAAACAATGTGTCTATTCAAAAATTTAATATTTTAATTTTTTTCAACAATGCGACTGTTGAAAAGTTAGTTAATTTGAAATAAAATATATATTTTAAATATAGATATTTTCTGAAAAGATTAATCTATTCGAAATATATATATTGTAAAAGTATTATTGTAGAAAGTTGTGGCTATTAATAAAAAAAACTGATTTTGTTTTGCAAAGTTGTAATTAATTTAAAAAGTAAACTACCAAAGGTTACATCCTTCTATTTCTACCTAACCGTAAATGTTGCATACTTTACCTCTCCTATATTTTCAGTTCTATTTAAACAATCTTGGATCAAAGTTTTACAAAAAAATTAAATGCTTGGTGTATCACACGCACATTATGTAATCAAGGAGTTGTCTCCTCCACTGTTATGAAACTCGCTCGTCATATAATTAAAGCCAAGCGCACAAATTATATTGCCCAAAAAAACTTATCTCCAAACCATTCTTTCTTTGCTCTTTAATATCCCTCTCTCTCCGCTTACACTACAAGAAATAGAAGCAATAAACAACAGTCATATTAATCTTTAGTTTATCGGAATCGTGTGTTTCTGATTCTTTCCTGACAATCAAGATTTTGACGGAGTGGGTCTCGGTAATCATCCTTTGTCAGAAACTTAGTCTGTTGTCGGAATGTGATTGCTTCGTTCCGACGAGAAATCAAGCCGATGAATTTCTGTTTGTAAAAAAGATATCTTAAAAGAAATTATAAAGTTATTTATCATTTTTTCTTCTACAAGATGAAAATGTGATTTTTGTTTATTTACAAAACTGCTATTATATTCATGTATGTTCCATGAAGACATGATTCATGTCATATATTATCATATAAGAAAAATTCATCAAAACATATTAATTAATATATGTCATTATATTCGGTGAAAAACTAATAAGAATATTTTTAGTGCATTTTTGTATATTTTTAGTTTCGTGTATTTTATCAAATCAAAACCATTCAATTTTCTATGTGTGTGCAAAAATATAAAGTTATCGAATCTTTATGTGTTTGTATAATTATTGATTCAATACAAAGTAACTTTGTATCATGTGTATAATGTAAATCTACAAAATAGAAATTTTGATAACATATAAACACAAAGAATTTTATTTGTTATTGTTGTATCTTAGGTAGTAATTTAAATGAAATGGGTCTTGTCAACATAAGTTTATATACATATATTATGATATCCAGTTTCTTTATTATTCATGAAATAAAGTATATAAATAAATATATTAAAAATACCAATTGTTGTAAATATTGAAAATAATAATCCACGAAAGCAATTGTAAAACTTTATACAAAAACTTATTATTATAAAATATAATTTATTTGATTTTATAAACTTAGTATATAACAAAAAAAATATAAGTTAAACCGTCTTGAAAAAGCAGAACTAACGGGTCTTATAGAGTTTAGAAAAAATTTTCTCTCTCCTTAACAGATTTGGGTGTCTTGTTCTTCCTAGCCTCTCTCTTTTCTTCTTTCACTTTCTTCTTGTGCGCTTGCTGCTTTCTTGTCTTCAGGACCCAATTCTTCTTCACTTCCACTTTCACTTTCGTCTTCACTTTCTTCTTCTTCCTCTATTTTGTTTTCAACATCCATCTTGATTTGCTGCTCATCTAATTTAGGAAGAGGATCCTTAAGCCCAGTGATGGTTTGGTACAACATGTCTCCTGTATCTCGCCCGCTGGTTATCTTCTCCACATCAGCTTCCGGGTTCTTCACAGCATCAAGAGATTTCGGTATGTATGATTGTTCAACATAACCAACCAATAAGATAAGATGATTATATAGCATTCGGACATAAAGCTGGAAGACCAGATTATTAAACTAACCTTCATAAATACTGAATCTGCGATTTCATCTTCTGCAGATATCTCTCCTCCCTCTATAACTTTACGTTGGACCCGCCCCACATGACACACTTCATTAACTTAGTTTTGCTTATACAGAAAAACGTGACAAGCTGCCTGTATATATATACCTCTTCTAAATAGCTATCAACATCTTCGTCTGAAATTGTTGGAACAACTATGAAATCAAATAACTCCCTTATGGTCATTACAGCAACACCGTGTTTTTTGAAAAAAATCCTGTCAATACATAAGAAACCTTTTTCCAGTCAAATCAATCCATACATGAGAAACAAGTTCAGCACTTACCGAGACATGGTCACAATCTTCACGTAGAAAATTGAGGGTAAGAGGATGGTCCAGATCCACTGATTGAGAAACATCGATTATATAAAGGTGCCCCTGAAAAATAAGTTAAGACAATAATAATATCAATATATATTTTTCTTTTCTATACTGTTTACAACTTATTTTTGATTCGTTGGCTTTAAGAACATAAAAATAACTTCAAAACTCACCTCGAAATAAAGAATGTTATTATACTCACTGAGATCTCCATGAACCAATTTGCACTTCTGATACAATGTTCGCATTTGAATAATCAACTGAAACGCAAACGAAAACATGTTAGTAAAATTCTGGATTTGATGGCTGAGATAATCATGGCTGTCATAAGCCACTCAACTTGCATACCTCTAGATAAGACTCGCGCAACTTGTCCAGTGATAATGCAGCATCTCTGAGTCGCGGTGCAGCCCAACCATCCCTTCCTGAAAATTATTATATAAAAAAATGCAAAAAGCGTGAAAGTTCTTGAATAAGTGATTAAAACAGATAAAACATTAGAGGGTACCTATAAACTCCATGACTGGACACCTAATTCCTGCTGCCTCAAGCCTGCCAATGAAACATATAAAAAATAAGGAGTTACAACATTACTTTTACACATAAATCATAACAAGTACTTCTCCAGCTTATGTTTGGAAAACAAGATATGTTGACATACAGTTACCAGGTTTCATATGTATCAAATGTAAGCAAGATAATATCAAGCACACACCAAAAACGAAACATTACCTCTTAAGATTTCTGTGTTCTTTTTCAGCCCAAGTCTTCACCATCTTCCGAGGATTGTGGCGACAGTAGCCATATCTAAAACGGTAATCGCCTTGTACATATCGTTAGGTCGAGGAGCGTGGAGAGAGAACCCGCCACCGATGAGCTCGTCATCATCTGTGCCGTCGAGCCAGTCAAGAGCTTCACCAATATCGGAATCTGACGAAAAAGATAGATCGTCGTCTTCATCATCATCTTCGCAGAAATGGTGGGTGGCGGCTCTGCGACTACTCCTCCATCGTTTTTTTAAAGCTAAGCGGCAAAATACCGGGGAGAATCAGACCTGACGGACGAAGAAGTTGAAACCCTTTTTCTACTTGTTAGCCTAAACCGGAGTCTTAGCATTTCTTTTTCTGTAGTTCTGTTTGGACGGCATAAACCAAAAAAAAAGAAAGAAGAAAGGATTTCCCAAGAAAATTTGGTCGGGATTCAATTTGGTTTGCTTCGGTTACTTTTATTTCGATTCGGTTTTCCATCAGACACGTCTTGCTGTTTTAAAAGCTTACAGAAGAACTTCTTGCCGTTTATATATATCGCCTTGCTTCTTTGGGGTGAAAGAAGCGGGAAAATTACATAGAAACCCTAAGAGAGAGCAACAAGGGGGGAACTGGGAGAGCGAAAGAGGGAAGACGGAGATGAGTCATCACCAAGCTGTCGATAATCTTATCAATGTTTTCGGGAGAGCCTCTCATGATCTGAATGATGTCCATTTCAAGCTCGACAAAGAGTTCCAGCAGATCTACCCAGATAATGTTAGCAATTTCGTTTCTTTTCAAGAATTCAAGTTCTGTCTAATTTTGTGAACATATCTGTTTTGGATTTCTACTTTTAATCTCAGGCGAATCCGATGAAGCTGATTCAGAGAATCAAGAAGCTACAGGAAGATGTAACTTTCCTCAAAGACCAATGCCTTGAACTTTTGTCCGCTAAACAGGTTCTTCCTCGTCTCTTTGTATTTTTGAAACTGCTGAACTGAATCTGGTCTCTGTTGAAACTAAATGGGTCAGATCTGCTGAGGCTTCTCTGCAGTATTTGATTGTTAGGTTTTATCATCATTATGTTTTCTTGTTTTGTTATAATCAGGATTTGATTGACAAGGCGCAGACAACACTTGTTGGTAACTACAACCTTATTCAGAAAATGAATACATCTTTGGGAGAATCAACAAATGATGATGCATTGGCTGATTTTAATCAGGTTTGTGCTCTTCTTCTTCTTCATAGGTGGATTCAATACATGAACCCTTTTTCATTCCGTTCCTTGTTTCTCAACAGATTATTGACGAGTGGACAATGCAAGTTAGAACAAGAACAGGTAACCAGAATAAGTCAACATTGAGTTACGTTTTCCAATTCTTGAATTATCGAGTTATTTTCCTAAGCGATGCTTCTTGTATCTGGTACAGGGGAAGAGACAGAGGAGGCAGATAAGGAAGACATTAATAAGTTACTTTTCTCAGCTATTGTTAATAACAATTGAGGATGTTCATGGTTCATGGTTATGTTCAGAGATACACAACTTCTGCATATAATCTTAACCTTGCTTTTGATTGTATCTAGGATCACTAGATCATTTAACTATATGATCTTACAATAAACTATCCTTTTGTGTTTTAAAATGTGGGATTTGTTTTTCGTTTGGGTTGAAAGAAAAGAGACACACTGACTTAAACCTTAGGACGAAGTTTTTTTTTTTTTTTTTTTTTTTTTTTTTTTGAATGAATGTAAAATTGAATTCAAACAAAAACCATACTACATCAAAGTGCATCAGTTTTTTGAATGAGGCTACAAAACCCCATTTACAATTTAAGAAACAAAGGAAGAAACCAAAAGTCACTAACACCCCCCCTCAAATTCAACCATATGGAACAAGTCGAAAATGAAGTTACATCTAGCAGAAGTTAGTTAGTCATTCATGTCTGGTAAAGCTTTGCAGTACATCAGGTGCGTTTTGTATTCTTGTAAAATATCGTCCTGGGGCCTGGGCTTCATATAATCATCGTCATCACCATCTCTCTCACGTAGGCTTTCTAGTCTTTAGTCTGGTTTTCTGAGCCGTACGTCCAATTAGCTCAAGAGACAGAATTGGGTTGGTTCGATTACTATGCTGCTTGTGGATAAAGCTAAAGTCATCGACTATATCAATCTCTAGGTCATAATTATCCAACTTAATCATGAGATTCTCACAATTGAAGCGCTCGTGTGAGATGTTCATATAACTTGCACAAATCACTGCAGAAGATATTTTTGGGAAGCATATATTAATGTAAGTAGGCTATCTGGATGTTCGTGCCAAATCAGACACTTATCCTGCATGACTAACACTTTAAAAGTTAAAAGGTTGAACACATCCTCAAAAGCCAGTTTTTGAGATGAGGATGTATTTACAATTATAAACCATTAACTATTTCTTTTTCTTTCCGTTGTGGGGACAATTTAACTATAACTCATATTAACAGTAGATTGTCTTTTAATCTCAAGTAGCATTTTTATATTTTATCTTTTTTATTTGACATCTTTTAAATACTGTACTCGTTTTTTCTGAATACCAACGCCCTCGTTGTCCTATCCGGGTTGTCTATTTTACGTGGATCCCTGATCATCGCAACTAGTTTGCACCTTCCCAATTTGATTAGCCTACTATGTCCTTCAGGTCGCTCTTTCCTGTTATTCGGTTAGTCTACTGTGTTTAGTTATATTGTTCCTTTCACCCATGGTTAGCCTATTTAAATGTATTTCCAATCCAAAACCTTATTTTAAAGGGAGTAAAACTTTAAAATTAAGATTGGGTCTAAAGATTTGAAGTTAAATTATTCCAACCATGAATCTTCGAAAAAATCTTTAAAAGTTTATTTATTTGCGTTATAGTTTTTGACATCAACAAAAGTTATTAATAATGATAAAACTTCACAAATACATATAAAACATACTTTTATTATATTATACAACACATGATACTATACTATTATATAATAAAAATATAGAGAATACATATATAACAAAACAATGCACATACACACCAATTTTAGAAAATTACATATAAAATGCTAAATTTTTATTAAAATATCAGTACCAAATTACATAGAAAATTAATATAAAATACAAAATTAAAAAAAAACAACCTGAAAAATTTATTCTTAAAAAGGGTCAGCCACTTTCTGAACACAACCTCAAGGACCCATATATATATTTTGATAGCGAGAGTAACACAGGTAAGGTCTGAGGTGTTTGCTTTGCGTTCTTTTTATTTTCAATTTGTAAGAGTATTAATTATACTTTGCGCGGTTTTTTCTCAGTATCCAGGGGAGTGAAGATGGGTCCCCCTCATTTGCTACAAAATATGGAGGGATGAAGTAGATTGAATCCTTAACACTGCGAGAGCTGAATGCTTATATAACATCCTAGTTTGTGGTATATGAAAATACTTAAGAGAATTGATTTGGCTACCTATGTCATCAAAGTGCACTTACCTTTTCAGGAACACATTCAGAGAGAACTCCAGAGTTAAGCGTGCTTGAGCTGGAGTAGTCAAAGGATGGGTAACCTATCGGAAAATGATTTGCGATACCGTGTAAGTGAGGCCAAAGCACGGAGAAAGTTCATGTGGTGATTGCAGGGTCAGTAAACATGACTCTAGAGTCTTGGAAAATTAACGGACCGGCCGTTGAAACAGGATGGGGCCCACGGGCCGAGTGAGCGGGTGTGGGTGACCCATTAACCGTGGGCGGCCGGGGCGTTACAAGTGGTATCAGAGCCGAACCCCGACGAGTGTGGAGTCAGTGAGGGCTCACACTAACGGGGGAAACGATCTTGGGGCGCAACAAGGACGTTGCATTCTTTGAGAGTGGGTGAATTGTAACATCCCGGTTTGTGGTCTATGGAAAGACTTAAGAGAATTGATTTGGCTACCTATGTCATCAAAGTGCACATACCTTTTCGGGAGCACATTCAGAGAGAACTCCAGAGTTAAGCGTGCTTGAGCTGGAGTAGTCAAAGGATGGGTGACCTATCTGGAAGTGATTTGCGATACCGTGTAAGTGAGGCCAAAGCACGGGGAAAGGTGATGTGGTGATTGCATGGTCACTAAACATGACTCTAGAGTCTAAGAAAATTAACGGACCGGCCGTTGGAACGGGATGGGACCCACGGGCCGAGTGAGCGGGTGTGGGTGGCCCATTAGCCATGGGCGGTTGGGGTGTCACAGCTTATGTAATCATTTCACCACCATAGGCTAGCCTCCAAATTAAAACCGCCAGCTTACTCTCTTGCGACTACTCTCTAACAAACCCCAAACATTTGTAGGCTGCAGAGTTCCTATGCACTGTGAAAGTTGACAGCATTGAAACACCAAATGGGTGGTGCCACTCCTCATTAATCGCAATGCTCCTGGATCATCGTTCACGTGTGCAGTCTGTCATGATGAAAATATTGTAGGTTATGTAAGGTAATCCAGGGTGTACAAGACGTGCTTTAAAACTTCTGAAAAGGAAAACCAAATGCACCTAATACGTAACAAATCTTTGATGTCTAGGTGCCAGGTTGAGATGGAGGTAACAGATCCCTCGAACTCTGTTATGTTTGTGGTTTCGACACTGAGATGAACAAGCTTACAAATGTCTCTTCCTCATCACTGTTTCAGGCCATGGTAACATCCATAAAAGGACCTTTGTTATTTGTTTTTTGAGTTAATAAAATGGGATGATCGTTTATTAAATACTCAATCTCAAACTAAGCGCCGGAGTGGAAGACCCACAGAGCATAGCCCTACCACAATGCATCAAATATATAGTAGTGAGGAGCTTAACATTCCAGCTGAAAATTTCAGAGTTTAATTTCTCAGAAAAGCATCAGTCATTCAATGTATCCCACATTTTTTAATGCAACCAATGTCCCCCCCTCCCAAATTTCGCAGCACAAGTAAGCTCACTCAAGTCATACACCACTCCTTGCATTGATGCCTTATGTTTCAAATGAATTCTCTCCAGGGAGGTTATGATAACCCCGATGATTAGATGCCATGAGTTGGAGATACAAAAAAGATTCATCCCAAGTTTTTGAAAGAGGTTTTGCTGTCAACATCCGCGGCCCCAGTAATTATGTCATGGTGGAAGGCCCTCAGGAGAGAATATTAAACCTCAAAATTGGTAAGCTTCAGATTACTGGAAGCCAATACATTGTTGCTGGCTCACTGCTGTTTTGTTATCAAGTTTTTTTAATATTTCCTAAATTTAGTAAGTATGCGTGGAGCTATCTTGATCGATGTATGCATTTTCGTAATAACAAAAATATAGGCTCCCTTAGTCTCCCACATTTTAAAGTAGCTTTGGATTTTTTTTAAAGGTTTGCGTCCCCTCCGACGACTGTAAGTGTCCTTTCACTGTTAATAATGTTACAACAGGTGAGGTTTGACAGATCAATATATTGAAGCTACTTCTTATCCTCTAAAGAAAAACACATAATCAAACAACTGCTCATTGTTTTCTTAATACTAGTTCATAACAATACAAACAGTTATGTAACACTTTTACCCAAATGCAAGGCATCATTTATGATGCTTACACAATCATATCACAGTTCACGTGATCCAAATCCAAAGGCGGAAGATTTTAGACATGAGAAGAAATGTGGAGGGGAATAGAACAATAGCCAACATCGTTTACAGAGAGGCTTACGATGGCCTCCCACAATCAACCGGTATGTTATCTACTATCTCCAGCTATGCGTTTGAGGAATTTCTTTTGCTTTTGAGTTTTATATGAAATCAGAAACCTAGGAAGTGCATCTCAAACACACAAAACTTCAAACAAAACATAAATCTTAAAAAAATAAGTTTAGACAAACGAAATGTCAGCGCTCACACCAAAACAAGAAAATTTAGGAACCAATAAATGATGCAGAAAAAATTGAGGTTAAACCAAACATGTTTCAAGCTTACAAGGCTGTAACTCTTTTAGTTTTCCCATCACTAGTCACTCCCTTCCACTTATACGGATCACGATCCTCTGACCTCCACTGGCATATAGCACCATCAGAACTAGAATTCCACTTCTAAAGCTCTGAAGTACCTCACCTACAGAACAAAATGAACAAAATGGATTGAAACCCTATACCCGATTGGGATGTAATTATAGTTTTTTCAAACACGAGAACATATTTAAGTTACAACTACCTAACCAAGCCGAATAACAATACGAAGCAACCCAATTAAAAAATTCAAAGCTTCTCTATTGTAGGTTCCGAAGCCGACGTATCAACCGAAGATCAATGACTACACGCAAGGCATACAAAGCTGTTGTAAGCAAATCTCTCATCAATCACACTTTAGAACAATTATAGTTTTTCATTCTCACAAACAAAAAAATGCTAAATATCGACAAGAATCGAAGGACATCGTGGCAATACTCTCTAAGATGAATGGAGAAACAAAAAAAAAAACGGTTTACTCAGATTCAAGAAAATAATCAGCCTAAAGTCCCTAGTACATTTAAATCCCAGACTTCTTAAATCCACTTTTACTTTTATCATTACTTTTGGTAATAAATCAATACCAATTTATATTTTCAATCTACTATTTCAAACTTTTTTTCCACTCTCAAACATTCTACATGAAATCCAGTAACAAACCTAAAAAAAGTAATATACCTATATAATATTATAAATTTCTAGA